TCAATTCGTTTTTTTTTTTTTTTTTATAAATATAAACATTTAAATGGTGGCTGTCATAAAACAATTTGATTTATTCAAATAAATTAAACACTGAAGAACAGTAAAACTTATAATGAATATGTTATATGGTGCATATATTTAGCAAAATACCCCTCTCTACAGTTTATTTTTCTATCTGACTAAAGAGTTTATGGTCACCGAATACGTTTTTTCTGAGGTAAATGTGACGTTAACATGACATTGTTTACAAGCCATTATTGACATCTTTGCGTGGCTGAAACACTGATTGAGCAATTACATGAGACAGGATACGGATTGTAAAGTTGTACTCTTTCTTTTAACTTACCTTCGGATGTTTAGTCATGTTTATTTTGTGCTGAAACTGGTATTAATGTGGAGGAGATGATCAGTTCACGTGCGCCTCGCACTGCTGCGTCTGTTGAACTGAGGTGCTACAGCGATCTGTCACTTCACATTAAACACCTGTTTACTTTCACCTGTTAATTTTTTGCTCTGTGGTACATCACCTTTAATTTAATAGCATTACAGTACTGAGCCGCTGTAATGGAGCAGCTCTAATCACACATTTTGCTGTAATAATGCAGGGAACCACTCATAATAAATCTTTCAGAAATATAAGTAGCGTTTTTTCATCTGAAACGTGCTGAGATTTATATTCCAAAGCAACTAATACAGAAACACTCATGAAGCAAGCAAAACATGCGCAACACGTGCACGTATTTTTATTGGTGCAGAATGAGAGGGACAAGTACAGTACAGCCAAGCGCATTTACACTGGCTGATAGTTTCACTTTCACCATAAAGTTGTGCATGCTTAAGGTTGAAAATAAATGTTGTTTATAGTGAATGCCCCTATAAATGTTGTTTTATAGTTACGATTTAGATTTTAAAAATCCAAATGATGCGCTTGCTAAGCGAGCGAACATCAAAGATCACGCAACAGAAGTGCACTCTCTCCCTACCATTAAGTAACATAACTTGTGCATTGTTTTACTTACTTTGTTTTTGACATATCCGACCGAACTACAAACTTTCCAGTGATGTCTGTGAGAAGGGGATATTAACTGGACAAGTTTGCGCACTCAATCCACTCAGCGTGCTTTGCTTATCAGCTCGCGCACATCAGCTATACAGGCGTTAATACTGAATGTTTACATTAATTGCGTAGACATCCTTAATCTCTAATAATAACTCCATTCTGCTATCTGTTGTTCTATTGTCTGTGCTTCTTTGTCTGAATACGGCACTTATCACATGCTGTGTGGTATCAGCGTTTTGTATCTAGGCATTTTGGCTAGGCAGTGAATCAAACATCTTTATGAATGGATCACTGAATGACTCATGATTGACTCATTGACTCACGATTCGTTAAAAAATGCTAAATCATCCAGTAACGAAACACTGCTGTGTGCTGCTCGGATATTATAGAATGATTATTACTTGTTTATTGAATGAATAAAATCAATGTCAAATTTGCAATCGTGCTGATATTCAGGAAACGGCACTCTCTTGGTCGTCTCATGTTGCTTAACTAGGCTACATTATGTTATAAATATAAAAACTCAATTTTTTACCATAGTATGTTTGTTCTGTGAGTTTCTGTGTCTGTGCTGTTGTGCTCATTAGTTTTGATTTCTTCACGAGATTCTCTCACACACAGATAGGCTGCGCTAGTCTCAACTGGTGGTTACTGTCAATACATTATTCTTTATCAATCGTCATTTACAACAAATATAATAAAATCAGAATCATTAAATGGCAATTTGCACCGACCGGAGACAATTACCAAAATGGTTCTGCGCGTGTATCACATCAATGTACATATTTTGCAATAGCAAATTAAAAAGTTAATTATGAAGGCGCTATATTCAAAATAAACTGGTCATTTTTTTCTTTAAATGTTGTTTTATAGTTACGATTTAGATTTTAAAAATCCAAATGATGCGCTTGCTAAGCGAGCGAACATCAAAGATCACGCAACAGAAGTGCACTCTCTCCCTACCATTAAGTAACATAACTTGTGCATTGTTTTACTTACTTTGTTTTTGACATATCCGACCGAACTACAAACTTTCCAGTGATGTCTGTGAGAAGGGGATATTAACTGGACAAGTTTGCGCACTCAATCCACTCAGCGTGCTTTGCTTATCAGCTCGCGCACATCAGCTATACAGGCGTTAATACTGAATGTTTACATTAATTGCGTAGACATCCTTAATCTCTAATAATAACTCCATTCTGCTATCTGTTGTTCTATTGTCTGTGCTTCTTTGTCTGAATACGGCACTTATCACATGCTGTGTGGTATCAGCGTTTTGTATCTAGGCATTTTGGCTAGGCAGTGAATCAAACATCTTTATGAATGGATCACTGAATGACTCATGATTGACTCATTGACTCACGATTCGTTAAAAAATGCTAAATCATCCAGTAACGAAACACTGCTGTGTGCTGCTCGGATATTATAGAATGATTATTACTTGTTTATTGAATGAATAAAATCAATGTCAAATTTGCAATCGTGCTGATATTCAGGAAACGGCACTCTCTTGGTCGTCTCATGTTGCTTAACTAGGCTACATTATGTTATAAATATAAAAACTCAATTTTTTACCATAGTATGTTTGTTCTGTGAGTTTCTGTGTCTGTGCTGTTGTGCTCATTAGTTTTGATTTCTTCACGAGATTCTCTCACACACAGATAGGCTGCGCTAGTCTCAACTGGTGGTTACTGTCAATACATTATTCTTTATCAATCGTCATTTACAACAAATATAATAAAATCAGAATCATTAAATGGCAATTTGCACCGACCGGAGACAATTACCAAAATGGTTCTGCGCGTGTATCACATCAATGTACATATTTTGCAATAGCAAATTAAAAAGTTAATTATGAAGGCGCTATATTCAAAATAAACTGGTCATTTTTTTCTTCTAAGCCATCTAAAATTTTTAATGCCTGACTTTTAATGCTATTTAAAGGGATAGTGCACCTAAAAATTTAATGCTATTTAAAATGACAGTTCACCATTAATTACTCACCCTCATATCATTCCAAACCCGTAAGACCTTCATTCATCTTCAGAACACAAATTAAGATATTTTTGATGAAATCCGAGAGCTCTCTGACTTTCCATTTTGGAGAGTATCACAATGCATGCGCTTTCCATTAAATGTAAAGAACACATGCTGCTGCTTACGTTGAACACGTTGAACATGCTGTACCCTTGTTTTCGCGTCGAGAACAGCATGCGCATGCATTGTTTTACAGTTGAACCACTGATGTCACATGGACAATTTTCCTGATGTCCTTGATACGGTTCTGGACCTGGGAACATTTCAGATGTGTCTGTCTATGGAGGGTCAGACAGCTCTCGGATTTCATCACAAATATCTTAATTTGTGTTCCGAAGGTCTTGTGAACGAAGGTCTTACAGGTTTGGAAAGACATGAGGGTGAGTAATGACAGAATTTTTCTTTTTGGGTGAACTATCCCTTTAAGGCCTTCATTTTCACAAAATCCATTTAATGACTTTTAATGCTTTTTAATGCCCCGCAATCAAGATGGTCTATACAGGTGATGGCGCACATAGGCGGGCCAGACAGTCCACACAAAGGACATTTAATCTTGTTTATTGAGGACACTATGTGGGAGGTCCTAACAGTTGTCCCACAGACAGAACTTTGGGTTAAGATTCCTTGAAGACAGACCAGCTAACATAAATGTTGAAGAACTGTTATACTACTATCATGAATAAATTCTTCTTCCTGCAAGAACTCTAGTCAAGCTTACTTATTTTATGTATTAGAGAAATTTAGTAAATTGGTGAGGTACCGAAATGACTGCTCAGCCAAATACAGCAAAATCTCATTTATCAGCAACACTGTACATCAATGCAAAAGGAAAAGTGCCCATTTTAGATAATGTAACTGCTCACCATTTTAATCGCCTTTCTTGTAGTTAGTTTAAGTGGTTCTACAGTGTAAAAATTATTACACAAACATTCCAATAAATAATTTAATTACACTCTTAAAGACAACACCTACTTGCAATTAAGTGAAATTTTATCATTTAAATGAAACATTAATTCTATGAAAAAAAGGTAACTTTGCCTTATGCTTTACTATAACAACAGCATTAGAACATCTATGAAGAGCTTCTATGAAAGCAGACCTTCTCCTGGTGTCGCTGCTCCATTTCTACCAGTTGACTCTGATGTTCCATATCCATGGCAGACATGAGCTTGCGCTCATCACACAATATCTTCTGCATATCCAGCAGATTGGCCTTTTCCTGCTTCAGCTCACTCTCCAGCTTGGCATTAGCCGCCTTGGAGGCTACAACCTGAAACAGGTGCACAGAAATTAGTCAACCTTATTACACGACAGTACAAAACAAATAGCTCCATAAAATAAACCAATAATGTGTTCTATGTGAATGGTAGCAAGTCTACCTCAGACATACTGTGACTGACAGACTGATAACAATTTAACAAAATTGAAGCTTATCTGAATAATTTAATTTTTTTGTTAAACTTTTGGAATCAATTGACATTCCTATTTTTACACTTCTGGCATAGTGTGTTCATCAAACTGCAAATTACTGAAACTCCCATTTAAAAAAAAAAGCAGTAAAAAGCCCCAGGAAGCCATGGTTTACAGTGATTTTACAGCTAAGCGGTTTTAAAAATCACTAAACCATGGCTTCAAGAGGCTTACTGCTTTTATAAAATGGATACTTCATAAGAGAAGGTTTTATAAAAAATAAAAAAAACAGCAACAAGAATGGTTGCCAAGCAATACACAGACAGAAAAGCAATATACTGATGTAAGGTTACAGTTGTGTTTATAGCAAATTGTATGTCTCTTTGAATGAGGCTAGGCTAAACATAATCAAGGACTGGCACTATGCGTATTATAAATAAGTATATAATCTGTTGTAATATGTCTCAGAGTGAAGTGTGGCACCGGTGCATCTTCAGCATTATCAGCATCTCCAAGTGGCTCGTTTAATTTTATTTATTTATTAATTATTTTTCATTTAAATTTAATGCACATTTGAGAACACAAAGGCCCAATCCCATTTCTACCCCCTAGCCCTTCCCCTTTCCCCTACCCCTCTGTTTTGCGCGTTCACGTTAAGGGGTAGGGGTGTCTCGATTCTCTTTTGGTTGGAGGGGTAGGGGAAGGGCCAGATAGCCCTTCAAACAAAGATTTTTCGGGACCACACTTCAAACGAAGGGGTATGAATTATCTCAGTGTAAACCGGCTACAGCAGCAACATGACTGCCCGAGCGAACAAAAAGAACCATGTAAGCATTATTGGCATTAATAAAGATTTTAATGAAAAGTAATCATTTGTTTTATTTTACATTACATTTATTTATTTAGCAGATGCTTTTATCCAAAGCGACTTACAAATGAGGACAATGAAAGCAATTAAAATCAACAAAAGAGCAATGATATGCAAGTGCTATAACAAGTCTCAGTTAGCTTAACGCAGTACACGTATCAAGGTTTTTTTTTGTAATTATACAATAAATAAAAAGAAAACAGATAGAATAGAAAAGAGCAAGCTAGTGTTAGAGGCCTTTTTTGCTTTTGTTAATTGTATAATAAATAAAAAGAAAACAAATAGATAGAATACAAAAAGATTAGAAAAGCTAGTGTTAGTTTTTTTTCTTAAGAAAACAAGCAGTAAATAGAGTGCAAGTCTAAAAGGGACAAGTTTTTTTTAAGAATAGAATTAGAATAGAGTGCGCTGGAGTTAGAGGGTCAAATAAAGATGGAAGAGATGTGTTTTTAGCCGATTCTTGAAGATGGCTAAGGACTCAGCTGCTCGGATTGAGTTGGGCAGGTCATTCCACCAGGACGGAACATTTAATTTAAAAGTCTGTGAAAGTGATTTTGTGCCTCTTTGGGATGGCACCCTGAGGCACCCCAGTAGTTAGATGTTGCGACTTGGACACCTCACCTCTCCAAGATACCTTGAAGGACCTATCTGAAAGGTAAGACTCAAACCACTGGAGTGCGGTTCCTGAGATGCCCTTTGCCAATAAGGTTGACAGGAGGATCTGGTGGTTAACCATGTCAAAAGCAGCAGACAGATCCAGCAAGATAAGTATTGAAAATTTGGAATCTGCTCTTGCCAGTCTTAGGGTTTCAACGACAGAGCAAGGCAGTCTCGGTTAAATGTCCACTTCTGAAACCAGACTGATTGCTGTCGAGGAGGTTGTTCTGTGTGAGAAAGGCAGAGACTTTGTTGAGCACAGCTCGTTCAAGTGTTTTTGCAATGAAAGGAATGGAAACCCTAACGGTCTGTAGTTCTCTAAAAAAGATCAGAATCAGAATCAGAATCAGAATGAGCTTTATTGCCAGGTATGTGTCCAAGATGGGTTAAGGGTGGGTTTCTTAAGTAGTGGGTAGTGTTAATTTTGTCAGCTATTTTCAATTTTAGTCTTAGACCCATGTTAAATGTCCTTGTTAGTTTTTATCATATTTAGTCAACCTTATCCTATTTAGTTTTAGTCAAGTTTTAGTCGACAAAGTCTCAACATTTTAGCCTAGTTTTAGAAAAGAAAACTTGACATTTTAGCAATAAGATTATTATTAATTAACCGTACAGCAGTATTAATTTTGGCAGCCATTCTTAATTTAGTCTTAGTCTTACTCAAATGTACATTTTAGATATCATATTTAGTCAACCTCGTCCTGTTTTTGTTTAGTCAAATTTAAGTCAATGAAATGTATGAGCATTTTAGTCAGGTTTTAGTCAAGTTTTCGTCATGCTGTATAATGGTTAAACTAACCAAAAAAATGTTTTTGCTCAAAATTATAATCGTAATGTTTGTTGTCATTTGAGAAATTTACTTTTGCATTTCAGCGAAAACGGCTAAAACAAACTAAAAATATTATAACGGTGAAATTCCAAGTAATTCCACTAAATCCAAATGGCAATAGCCCATTTCTCTATTAAAACAACAGCGGTTGAGTAAGTGCATTTATTCAGCAACCACAATCGCAAACAATACAGTCAAGATCTCATGACAGAACACAGACCGGGTTGAATTACACTTATTTTAATCGCTAAACTCCAGCTTGTTAGTCGTGTTTTCAGATAATTGGTGGCTGCACTTCCGCAATGAGCAGTGAGCGTGTGCGCATGGTTGCCAGATTGCTTAAAATAAGCAAAATGTCAGAAAATGTTTCCTTATAACAGCGAAGCTCTGATTCAGGGATTTGAACATTTGATATCTGACAACCGCACTCATGAAAGCTCGCGTAGTAGAGGCATGTAGAGCAGTCCGCAGTAACATTGTCTCCTTTTTTTTTGTGATGAAAATAAAAAGAAGATTTTGGTAAAGTTTTTATCTTTTTGAATACATTTTAGTCTCGTCTTATTTCGTCAACGAAATTGCATGTTAATATAGTCTTAGTTATCGTTTATTGACCTTATTGACGTCTTCTCTTAGTCATGGGAAAAAAGCTTGTCAACGAACATGTTTCGTCGTACTTTTCTTTAACGAAATTAACACTAGGGTTATACGAGCCTGTCTAAATGCTGAAGGAAAAACACCAGTGTGAAGGGATGTGTTAATGATGTGAGTGCAGGTACAACTGCAGGAGATATGGCTTGAAGGAGATGAGATGGAATAGGATCAAGCGGACAAGTAGTAGGATGATTAGAAAGGATGAGTTTGGAGACTTCTGCCTCAGAGAGTGAAGAGAAGGATGTGAATGAGTGTATGTTTGCTGGTAAGATGAGCTTGACAGATTGTGGTGTGGAAAAATGTGCACTGATGGTTTTAATTTTATTAATGAAGAACATGGCAAAGTCGTGTTTTATGTTACATTCAATCGTGTGTTCATATTTACGGTCATGTTATTCAAAGAAATGTTTGCCAAAAATTGCAAAAATTTGCTAACGTCATATTACAGACTACACGATAGTGCCACAACATATTTTCATGTCTGATCAGGGTGATAACCACCATTGACATTGAGGGGGGTTAGTCCCCCCAATAATTAGAATTCACTTAATTTTTTCTCAAATACCTATTGCCAATTCGAGAGAGAGAGAGCTTCTGTGCGTATCTCTTTACAATGAGTGAGTTTACTTCAAAGACAGTGATTTTATCCCCTCGTTGCTGGAAAATATAACGTAGCGATTCAGTATTTAAACTGTGTGTATATTGTAGGAGTTAGACGACGTATGATCACGTGTAACGGTATAGTAGTGGTGTCCCAATTCTTAGGGGAATATTTTCACCCTTACCCCTTGACACCGTTTCAATTGACAAGGGAGAGGGGTAGGCGGAGGGGGAAGGGGTATAAAATATAATTGGGATTGGGCCAAAGTGTGTCACTATGGCACTTATGTTGCATTTTCACATTCGCATAATTTCCAACATTTTTCATGGACGGATGATTGCAGTATTTTAGTATCAAGATTTGTAATGAGACACAAACCTATTTTCACAGAAACAGCAGTTTTCCATGGCCATAAGTCATGACTTGACAAAAACGTTTCAATGTAATAGGCAGTGGTGTTGCCAAGATATTGCTACAGCTTTAAAGGGGTCATATGATGCGATTTCATTTTTTCCTTTCTCTTTGGAGTGTTACAAGCTCTTGGTGCATAAAGAAGATCTGTAAATTTGCAAAGACTAAAGTCTCAAATCCAAAGAGATATTCTTTATAAAAGTTAAGAGTCAGCCACACCCCCCTAAAACGGCTCGTTCGAACACGCCCCCACATATCTACCTCACTATGTGGGAAGATTTGCATAACACCGCGATGCTGAGTTTCTCGAAAATGGTTTGAGATTTAACATTTTTGGATTTTTACAAAAAGATTAACTTTTTGTTGGCTTAGTCTGATGATGATCTGTGTGAAATTTGATTTGGTTCATTTTTTTACATGACTCAAAATGGCAGACAGACAAAACAGTTGAATGTTGAAAAAATACCAAGGAATTTTGTAGAACTGAATGAATATAAAGAGGTGAGATTGCTATCACGTCTTGTTTGTCATGACAGGTACAAAGTTATACTTTGGAGTGCTCTTCACCAAATTCGTTGATGTGCTATATGAGAATGGTTTGATCTATCAAAAATAACTATTCACCAGGATGGTCTCACAACGATCTGAGAAAATCGGAGCAACAATCAAGGTATTAGAGGAAAAAAATAATTCAAAGTTTTCAAAGTGATTCAAAATGGCCGAACAGCAAGTTCAGCCGACCATGTCATAATTGGTTTTACTGTTCTCTGTACAACCCAAGGAACATATCAAGACCAGTATCATGACAGCAGGCAAAGTTACTAGTTTTATAAATTGTTATAT